ACGGGCCTGGTGTATGTGACACATTTTTACTGCAACCTACAGTGATAGCAACTTCCAGTGGAGCTGGACATGGGCATAAAGTGTTCTGAATCTTCTTGGGTGTCAGAAGAGGATTTTATTAAAAATGTTTTGGTCAGCTGGGTGTCTGACGCATGTGGAAACCCATCACCATGCTTAAGAGCATCCAAACTAAACTGAGAATTCGATGCATCCCACCTACACATGGAAATTCCAGAGATAGATTGTTGGAATAGATTGCTGGAGGGATGGATGCTGCTGATCAGAGACATAACCTATCCCACAGATTCCGCACTAAAACAGAAGCCAGCCTGCTTCTTCCTGATCAAACTACGAGCCTCCAATGCGTGTGATACAAGTGCAGTGACTACCCAAAGCACCACTTTAAGCCACTGAAATCAACGAGATTCCTCTGTAGTTATTGGTTTCAATGGGGTTCACCCGTCTTGGGGCAAGACACCACAATTGCGCTCTGGAACACTGACAGAATGCATGCCTCAGAGAGAATCCTCTTGACCATCGCTAGGAGGTCAGCTCCAAGGCGAGCTGGGGGCTCCTGGAGTGGACCTGTAAGATCTTGATCGTTATCCATCTCCTTCCTCAGAGCAGCTCTTAGGAACTCAACTTTATTAACACATTCAGGCTTGGGTAGAAGGAAGATGTGCATAAATTTCCTGCAACATTTCATTAACCAAACGATGTTCCGGTGAAGACCTTTCCTGCAGCTGGAAGGACGAGGTGTTTTTTTTTTCTTTGCGACAAAATTAACACACGCCAATGCTGTCGAACAGCTTTGAGTAAATTCTCACTGACTGTTTCAATTTGGCTAACTCCACTCTTGTTGGGTTTTTAAAGTGAAAGGACTGCAAACAGCTCCCTCAGGGTAAAGTCAGACCTTGAACGATCCCAACTGCTGTCATAGTGGCTTGCGAGTGGAGGAAAGGGGATGGGGGTGGGGAGGGGGGAGAGGAGCGGGGGAAAGAGAGAGAAAGAGAATTAATTGTAATGTCACTTTACAAATGGTGGATTTCACGCTTCATTGACTCCGGAGGATCAGTGTTAAATGGCACACGTCAAAAACGCTCCCCCGAGGAGTAGCCCCCCCCCACTCCCCAAACACTGCCACGTGCTGCATTCACCAGCAACTGCGACCCGGAGAACAAGGTCACTCAATGACTGCATGAGATTAGCAATGCTTCGTGTGACCACCTGCTGCCTGCCTCATTAATGATTCAGTAATCCTAGGAGCAGCCCCCCACTCCCTCGTCAATCTCTCTTGCCCTCTCTTACCCTTGTTCACTCCCCACCCTCCAAAGGCGTCACAAATATAATAATCCTTGAATTTGATATCACGCCTTATGTCGTTGAGATGTCTCAAACAGCTTCACAGAATATATATTGTAAAGTAGATTAACTGCATATTTTGTGGGCAGCCAATTGCACACAGCAGTGTCATACAAACAATCATGGATTGAGTGACCACGTGTTTTTTTGAGGAATTATTACTCCTGGAAAGCTTTCTGCCAATCGACTGACAACCGGGTTCCTACTTACTGGTAGGTAAACTGAGGCGTGTGTAAAGAAGTAAGGAAGGAAACTTGCCCAAGGTTTTGCCCCGCCTGGGCATTGAACCCGGGTCCTCCAGCTTGCGAGGCGAGCGCACTAACCACTACACTACGCGATTCCACAAAAAGCACACAGGTCCGTTCAACAACACACTAAACAAACACTCAGCTGGGTGTCTGACTCACACTGAAGGAGTGGGCTGCAGGGGTGCGGGAGTAAAAGAGCAGGTAAATGGCACTGAAAGGACTGCTCTTAAAAGAGCCAGCACAGACATGATGGTCCAAATGACCTTCTTCTGTGCTGTAAATTTCTATGGTTCTATGGAAACCCAGCCTCATGCTTAAGAGTTTCGGAACCCAACAACTGAGAGTTGCACACTTGCATGGTTTCATTTGGTCTGTTTGCCTGGGGAAATGAACACAAGTCTGCAACCCAATAAGGGGAGAAATTCTACCCAACTCTAGATTTCTCTCTTTATGCCGCATTTCAGAGCGTCCAGAATTTAGCACACTGTTGAATTCAGTCCCAATTTTGAAGTTGTTTTTCATGGTTTATGCTGTAATTAAGTACCTGTCAAATTCTGGAACTTCTGAAATGTTAAGAGACCATAGTTCAGAAAGCAGGTGACCTTCCTCTAAGACCCCAACAACTCTGCCTTTGAAAACATCTCAAGAGTGTTTCACATAGAATAACATCTGAGCCCTTCACAAAGATGGGGTTAAACACTGAGCAAATTAGACCCCAGCGTTATATAACCGGGTAAAGCAGCACAGAATACAGGGAGTGATAGCATCTCTGGAGCATTGTCAGGAGCAGATGGTTAGATCTGTCTGCCCAGTACTGCAGCATTAAAGCGATTAAGGATTAGGACAGAACTCAGAACCTTCAAATTAAACAGGACAGGTTGACAAGACAAGACAGGGCTATGTGATCGGATCAACAGGAGTCAAAGCCAGGCACAACACAGCACAGGGCCACTGCCATACTATCTCCCCGGTCTAAATGTGAGTGTGTATTTGATTCACATGTGCACATGTAAATCAGTCACCCTGAACAAAGACGGACACGCCTCCTGTTGCTTAAGTGAAGGCCCGGGTCAGAGAAATGCATGGACCGACTGGGAAGTTTTAAATAAAAAGAATGCCACTAATGGAACACATAGACACCTATCTCACTAAACAGTAACATCACAAAGTGACACTAGCCTGGCCTGCTTACTGAACCCCATACTTGCCCTATATCCGTCTCTTTATGGCTTATTCTCGGATGGTCCTGGTGAAATTCCCTTCTCTTTTTGAATAGTGCCATGGGATGATTAACGTCCACCTGAGCAGGCAGACGGGACCTCGGTTTAACGTCTCATCCAAAGAATGGCACCTCCGACAATGCAACACCCCACCAGCACTGCATTGGAGTCTCAGCTTAGACTACGTGATACCAAGTCCTGATGTTGCAAGAATTATTGTTAAATCCTATTCAACACTGCTTTAAACACACGTTGGAGAGTGGTGGCTTTACACACACCACGCACAGGAGAACAGTCAACATTTGGTTTCCCTCGACCTCTTCCCCCTCACCTGCCAGCCTGTCATTGACCCTGTTGTGTCTGGACCACAACCACAGAATGGCCTCGTCCAGGGTTCGGACGTCCTCCATGGACTCTGCTGCCATGGCCTCGAAGTGTGTTGCGCAGTATCTGCAGCTGAAGAAGTTCTTCACGTAGCTTCGCAAACCATGGAGAACCTCCAACTGGTCAACCACCTCACCTGGAAGAGGAGCAGAGAGGAGGGTCAGTCACTCATAAACCGGGGTCCACTCAGCCTATAATAACAACACAACTAATATTAATAACTAAAGATATCCCACGGCACTACTCAAAATGTGAAGGTAGTTTCTCCCACTGCCTAAGCCATCAATCTTCCCCTCCCCCCAAAAAATTGGTCATTCATTCCATGTGAGACGTTGCTGTGCGTAAAATTTGGCTGCCGCACTCGCTTACAAAATAACACAAACAAAATAACTTCAAAACAAACGACTGTTTGTGGGACACTGTTGTGTGCAATTGGCTGCTGCATTTCACCCACAAAATACACGGTCAATCCACTTTCTAATATATTCTGTGAAGCACTTTGAGACGTCTCAATGACCTAATAAGACACTATATCAAATTCAAGAATTCTTTTTATCAAAACACTTCATTACACTTTACAAGTAAAATCCCGTGAGACACTTTGAGATGTCCTCCTGATGTGTATCAAATGCAAGGATTCTTATTGTTAATAATAGCTATTAATTATTACTTTTGGTGAAAAAAAATCAATAGGCAGGCTGATATTTCGCCCGGTTTTATCCCGTAATTTAAGATTGAGCAGAATTGTAAATTCGGAAGCTGGTTCATTTCAAGAACTGCAGATAACTGGATTTCGAATTAAGGCAATAGTTTCAGGCTTCATGAGATAGTTTGGGGAGTGTGTGTGGGGGGGGCGGCGGTGGGGAGGAGGGGAGGCCTGGAAAATTGAATGCTAGAACTGGACCCACTTAAATGGTGTGATCAGGGATCATGGGGTGGGTTTTATGAGCTCTGAGACACTGCCCCATGTGAAGAGGGTCATATAAATGCAAGTTGTTGTCTACAATAAACACAGGAATGTATTGTGTATTCTGCACCTCCCCACCCACAAAAAAAAGCAAAATTCTACTGAGAAACAGAAATTGTCCTCCCGAAAACTTCACTCTCTGAATACAACTTTGTCTTTTACACTTTCCCCAGTCTTCTCAGCTCAGAGCGGCTGTTCCAATTAAGCTGCTACACAGATGGGAGCTCAAGAGCACTGCCCGGCTGGTCACATTGTAGCCTGAAGTCATGGATTAACTCTCATACAGAGTGTGACACGACTTAAGACAGGTGGCTTAATTGGTAAGGCTCTTGCCCCGGAGATGGAAGGTTGTGGATTCAAGCCCCATGTCAGTGCTTGGGCTTACAGTCCGGGCTGACTCTCCATTGCAGACAGGGATGGTGAGGAGTGGGGAAGAACACTTGGTGTTAATGGAAACGAGAAGGCAGTTTCTCCTGGTGTCATGGCCAAAATGCTTTAGTTAAATTGTTCAATCACATCCTGGCTATTATCAGCCATTGCTGCATGCAAACTGGCTGCTGCATTTACTTACACACTGAACACTCATAACGGTGAAGAACAGTACTTTGAGAAATGCTTTGATGTTATATGTTTTCGCCCACATAATATACAATCGATTCACTTTACAGTGTATCCTGTGAAACCCTTTGAGTGGTCTCGAAGTCGTGATAAGGCGCTTTATCAAACGCAAGGATTATTATCATTATTTTAGGCGCTATATCAAATGTAAAGGTTGGCCGTTAACAATAACGAGTTTAAGACTTTACCTCGTGCTGCTGCGGATTCGTTGTAATTTGCCGCTTGCACAGACAAAACATGGAAGAGGATCCAGAGCGAGCAGGGGTATTGTCGGAACTGAGGTCGGCTTCCCTGACAGGCCGCCCAGTTCCCCCCGATCGGCAGCGCAGCCCTTTGCAGCTGGAGAACAAAGAAAGGAAAGATATATTCAAGAAAGCCACGGATACAATGCTGCTGACAGGAAGACGAGGAGGAGATGCAGAGTGGTGGACTGAGTGAGGGGATTCCTTTCACCGAGTGTGTAATGTACGTGAACAAGAGCATCACTGAGACACTGAATGTTCTATCTTCTGCCTAGTGACCGTGGCTACACAGCTCAAATCATCCACAATCCACTATAGAGGTAAGGGGAGAAGGCAAGTGGTTGAGATTGAATGAATACCTTGCCTATGAGAGCTGGTACAGACCCGATGGGCCGAATGTCTTCCTTCTGGGGTGCAACTTTCTACGATTCTACAGCGGATATGTGTGGTGGGCGCACTGTGAGAGCGAGGGGCAAGGTTTACTGGGCCATTCCTTCAGCGTGTACCTTACCCCTATTGTGTTGTCCAGCACCTCTGATAAGCCAGCAAAGTGTTTTGTAGAGCGAGTATCAGCCAGCCAAGCCTGCACGCCCTGCAACAAATTAATCACGATAGGACGGCCAGGAAACAGCTAGAGAAAGAGAAGCAAAGAGAGAGAGTTAGCATGGATAATAAGAATAATAATCCTTATATAATGCTGTATCACTTTGTGGAGTATATTGAATATATTGTCAAGTGGATTGACTGTGTATTTTGTGGGTGAAACATGGCAGCCAATTGCCCACATCAGTGTCCCACAAACAGTCGTGGATTGAGTGAACAATTTTTTTTTGAGGGATTATTACCCCCCCCGGCTTTCTCGCTTGTGAGGCGAGCACACTAACCACTCCGCTATGGGACTCCAAAGATCACATCTCAGAGTCTGATTCCACCCCAGATGTCCGCTGATTTAGGTCATTTTAGCTGCACAAACTTCATTCTAAAATGCCTTGAGCGATAGGTCTTTGGTTTCCTAAGAACCTATGTTACTGCTGTTTCAAAGTTAGGAACTTTAAGTTCTTAGTCTTAAGATCTCTGACTAGAAATTTGAGACAGTCCAGAACTGTGGAAAATTCTGCAATTCCGTCTCAATTTGGAAGCTGCTTCTTTGTAAGAGCCGCTAACAACCTGCTTCCAAATGAAGACTGAAGGCTTTCTCACAATAAATAATTATTAATTAATACTAAATGATCTTCAATTTAATGGTTTTAAGGATAAAACCCATGAGATTAGACCACACAAATTACTGTCCTTGCATTTGATATGGAATCTATAACTCTGAAATGTCTCAAAGCCCCTTGCAGGGAACTGTCACGTGTAGTGACTGTGCTTTCTGTACACCAACATGGCAGCCAATTTGCACAAAGCAAGGTCCCATAAACCATCGTGAGGGGGACGTATCTGGAAGTTTACGGTCAAGGGATCTTTAGGTCATGGGATCTTCAGTGACAGTCAAAAGAGGCAGACGGGTCCTTGGTTTAACACCTTATCTGCAAGACTGCTCTCCAACTTCCACCCAGGACTGAAATGGATTGTGAGCTCCAAGTCCCTGCATAGGCATGAATGAACCCAAAATCTTCAGACCCAAAGGTGAGAGTGCCACTGACTGAGCCAGGCTGACCATCCAATACTAAACAGTGAACAAAAACATTTCCCATTCTCTGCTGACGGGGGCTGGGTGAAGAGGGAGGGGGCAGGCGGTGGAACATTCCACAGGCTGAGGTGGGCTGTGCATCGATCAAGAGATCCTGAGAGACTGAAAAAAAAACAATATTGTCCCTGGGTGATGAGGCTGCCTTTAAGAAACTGACAAGAATGAGAGTATCCAAAGACAGGCAGGCAAACTAGCAGTAACTCAGTAAATAGCATCCCGAGGGAAGGGGTGGAACAGGAGCTATAGATTTCCTTTAAAAAGCCTTTATGTTTCCGCATATCCAGTGCTCATCTCCAACCTGTTTGTAGTTTCCAATTTGTATTCCGATGGTGAACATGTTAAACACTCAACTCCCCAGCTCCTAGCCGAGATAAAATCATGTCTGCTTCAATCCAGCAGTCCTGCCCTCCAAGGACTTAGAAAATCTACTTCTGTTCAATAACTTCAAACTAAAATTCAATTAGTATCAGTGCAGGGAGAGAAACAGCTCAGTCTCTTGAAGTGCGTAAACACATCCACACACAAATACAGTATACAAACACACATACACAGAATTATAGATACACACACACAAATATACAAACAAAAATGCATACATACACACAGAAATATACATACACACACAACCATACAAACACAGACATATACACAGAAATATATATCATAAACACACACATAAATATATTCATACATACACAAATATATGCATACGCAGAAATATACATTCGTACATACACAGAAATATACATTCATACACACATATATAAATACACACACAGACACACACACAAACATACACGGGGGGGGGAAACAGATTAGTAAACCTTTAAATACAGACGCTTTCTGTCAAGCTACACAGCAGCTTGTGTTGGAGTCAGTCAGTGGCTTGTTAGTGGAAACACTTTAATAGGATTTGGGATCCCGGTGTGGGGCTAACTCCCATCCCATACGAGGTGAGCAATAATTTACAGCCAGGTTTTCTTGAAGCAGTCCTTGAAAATTAAAGCTTCTAAATCAAGACTGAATTTATAAGATTTTCTACAGTTAAAAATACACTAAAATCCTGGTCACTAGCTGGACCAATGGGCGTGGGGGGGGGGGGGGGATTCGATCTGGCAAGGTGGAATTTTGGGCTAAGTGTAATTACAACATCAGTACCGGCATTTACCGGCTTTTTTCAGTGGCTGAAAATTGCCGGTAAATGGTGTTATGCTCGATCGTTTAACGGTTCATTCCCAAATATTATCACTGAGACATAGAAATTAAGAGGTACAATAGTTCATTGACAAACTGCTTTCTTAATTATTTCCACCACACCAAAACAAATACTAATGGTGTGCGAAAAGATCAATGTCGCAGGAATGTTTAGTCCACAAAATACATTTTACAATGTATTCTGTTAAGTACTTTGAGACGTCTCAACTGCAAAGATTATTACTTTTATGCACCTGGGAGCACAGTGTTAGCAGCAGAATTACAAGGGTCAGGTTGGGGGGAATAGTAAGTCTAGGCATAAGCCAGCTTTATTCAGCCCTTACCTTACACTGGTGAATAAACGACTCCCTAGCATTGATGAACAGCCCACACCGAGTAAACCTTACTATTATTAGTAATTATTAAGGAGCTCCAGCCACTTACACAGTGAGGAACCCCACAGCCCTAGATGCAAATAACAGCAAATGTGTTTCTCTGTGGCTGAGCCTTCAGCTGCTATGGAATACTCTGCCTCTACCCCACCCCCTCTCCCATCCCCACCCCCATCGCACCCCTCTCTATCCGTCTTTAAATCCCATCTTAAACACCTATTAATGTCAGCATGTCACAGTGGTAACACTCTCGCTTTCAAGTCAGAAGGTTGTGGGTCTAAGTCCCACATCGGCACTTGGAATCATATAGTCTGAAGCTGACACTCTGATGCAGTGTGGGTGGTTGGGGGGGGGGGTTGTTGCACTGCCAGAGATGCCGTCCTTCTGATGAAATGTTAAACTGAGGTCTTGCCTCCTTGTTCAGGCTGTTGTTAAAGATTCCATGGCACTATTCAAAAGAGAGAAGGGAGTTTCTCCTGGTGTCTTGGACAACAATCCCCCAAATAAAATTGGTCATTTACTCCATGGCTGTTTGTGAGACACTGCTGTGCACAACTGGCTACTGTGTTTCGCCCAAAAATACACAGTCACTCCACTTTACAGTATATCTGTGAAACCCTTCGAGACATTTTAATGACATGATAGGGCGCTGTATCAAATGCAAGGTGGAGGCAGGGAGTTCCATAGATTCAGAGTACAGTGAGTGAAGGCGTGGCCGCTGATAATGAGATGAACCGCAATAAGCTGAACGCTCAGAGCCGCAGGACTAACCTTAACAAGCATATTAATATAGTGATTCAGAGCAGCGAGGGAGTCTCCAGCCAGGCGTGTGTGCATTCCTACTTCCACCTTCAATGAGTATTGCAGTGCAGACTCCAGGTCAGCCATGTACACCTTGGAACTGCGGGCAGAAAAGAGGCAACAAGTCAGAGTGGAACATCTCAGATCCAAGAAAATCTTGCATTAATACTGCGCCCTTTCACGCAGGGTAGCATCTCAGAGCGCTTAACAGTGGGAGAGCCTGACGCCAAACCGGGGGAAGTGATCATAGGCACGGTCGAAGAGGAAAGTCTTAAGGAGACAAGGATACACAGCACAGGAACGGGTATAGGTTAAAGCTCCCGCAACACTGTCACACATACATCCCAACATCAAAACTTCTCAAAGAGCTTTACAGGATTAACTGAACAGTGTAGCGACAGTGTTTCTTGGATGTGAACTCAGCAGCCAAGTGGCATATAGCGATGTCCCACAAATAGCCATGGAGTGAGTGACCAATTTTTATCTGGGGGATTGTTGGCCAGGACACCGGGAGAGAGAAACTCCCTTTTCTCTCCCAGCACTGCATTAGAGTGTCAGCCTAACCTGTGGGCGCAGAGTGTTGATGTTGGGTTTAAACCCACACCCTCCTGATTCAGGGGCAAGAGTGTAACTAACTGAGCCAGGCTGACACCTGAAGGAAAGCATCACCTGTCAGGGAGATAAGTTAGCTCCTGCTTTGCTTGTATGAGATGCTGAACTCTCATTCTGGGTTGGATATTCTTCAGCACGGTGATGAGTTTCCGCAAAAAAACAAAAAAACTCTGGGAATCAGAGCAAACAGGAAAAACAGGAAAAGCTGCGTCTGACACTGCTCTCTCTAGTGGTACGGAACAGGTAGTGCAGCTTTGGTACCACTGACAATTACACTGATGTTCATGTTGATCTCTCTCTTCCCCACCACCATCAAAAAAGTGCACAGTTCAGGTACCATCCCCAGAACATGGCTGTTGTAAGGCTGCCCGGTTGATGGGAGAAGGATGAAAAAAGCCAAAACAATAACTGTTCTGGAAGGAACACATGTGGTTATTGGGAATGTCCTCCTGACGTGAAAGGCGCTATTAATTTTCTGCTGCTGCTGTTGTTATTGCACATTACTAACCTGTCAAAGTTTCGCCAGGGTTTCATGGTGCCAGCGGCTGCAGCATCCTGAACTGTCAGCTTGTAGGCACCACGTGTCACTCCGCCCAGCTGCCGCAGGTAATATGTGTAGAAAATGCGAGTTTTAAGTCGACTGCGGAGGAGAACACAAAGTGTGGATTATTTCCCCTGACCTTCAAAGAAAGCACCTCCTTCAGTCTCCATCCACCCGGGACAACCCATCATTTCCATCTTCCGTCGGAGGGTTGGTTGGTGGGTGCATCTGTTTCTGGGACACTGCTGCACGGCATTGGCTGCCGTGTTTCGCCCACAAACTACACACTCAATCCACTCTACAACATATTCTGCGAAGTGCTTCGAGACATCTCAATGACGTGATTGGGCGCTATATCAAATGCAAGGATTATTATTAGTATCTTACTCAATGCGGCAAAGGGAGCTTTCAGTGTGAATCTGGGCCACCCTGTACCATGATGTGCCTACATCCACTTGCAAAATGCCCCATTAAGCTCCACAAGCCTCAGCACAGAGAGAGAGAGAGAGAGAGAGAGAGAGCAGGAAAGACACAGTGATAGAAAGAGAAATGAGAGAGATAGTAATAATAATCCTTGTATTTGATATAGCGCCTTATCATGCCGTTGAGACATCTCAAAGCGCTTCAAGGACACTGTAAAGTGAATTGTGTGCATATTTTGTGGACGAAACACAACAGCCAATTACGCACACCCATAAACAGTTGTGGATTGAGTGACCAAATTATTGTTAGTAGTATTATTTTGAAGAGATTATTAACCCCAGAAAGCAATCCGCCCATTGATTAACAGTATTCCTATTTACTGCTAGGTAAACAGAGGCGAGTGGAGTAAGGAAACTTGCTGAAGGTTTTGCCCTGCCTGGGAATCGAACCTGGGTCCTCTCACTTGTGAGGCGAGTGTTCAAGCCAATACACTACAGGACTCCACGAGATGGAGAGATACAGAAAGAGGAACCGAGATATAGAAAGAGACAGAGAGCAAAAAAAGACAGACGTAAACAGAGAGATAGAGAAGAGCAATGGAGAAAGACAAAAGGAAACAGAATGAGACATACAGAGAGGAATAGAGAGAGAGAGAGACACACACACATACACACTCACACACACAATAAGACGGAGAGAAAGCAAGCGACAAAAAGGGTGAGAAAGGGCAATACATGCAAATTGACTGAACAGAAAATGAAAGCAAGAGGAAGAACGAAAGAGAGAGGACGGCGAGATCTGGGTGGTCTGAAACTTGAGAGAGAGAGGTGAACAAGTTGTCGGAAGAGGGATTGGCTAAACATGCCGTTTGTCAGTTGTCTGTGACCTTGCCAACCCTATCTCGCTGCTCTCTATCCCTCTCTTAAGGAAGACACGCGTTCAAACTACACATCTCTGTTTAACCGTGAACAGATGGAGGCATCAGACTTTATCACGAATAATTTTCCCCTCCACTAGCTCTGAAGAAAGCCTGGCACTTTGATAATGCCATCAGTACCATCCAATTATCCCCCGCGTCTGTCACGGGAGAGACAGAGGGGAGGGAGGCTGTAGCCTGCGACAGGCTTGCACTTGACTCCAGCTCCTTCTCACAGCTGTCTCTCAGGCTCTGATGATATCCTGGCTGGCAAGGTCCATTCACCCAACGCAAGGCAATGCCCACCATCCACCCTCCCTCCCACCCTCCTGCCTTTCTCCCCGCCTCCCTCCTGGTATTGTGCTATTGCAAAGCTCGGTCACATTAATCAGCCAGCCAGCCAGCCAGCTTGCCATCTGCTTATTATTTAAATGGCCGATCGCATGCGAGCCTGTGCTCAGCCAGATGGAAAAATACCATTGTTTTCATGCAACAGTTGGGAGTTTCTTGCCCCCGCACAAGGCCAAAAGACCTCACACTTGCTGCCTGCTCCCGCAGAGCGCAATTAACTCCTTCAGGCCTGTTCAGCGTCGTATGGTGTAGCGGTTAGCGCGCTCGCCTCGCAAGCGAGAGGACGCAGAATCGATTCCCGGGCGGGGCGAGACCTTACACAAGTTTCCTTACTCCACACACCTCCATTTTACCTAGCATTAAAACGGAACCTGTTTGTTAGTCGATTGGTGGATCGCTTTTCCAGGGGTAACAATCTTTAAAAGAATAAAAATAATTTGATTGCTCATTCCATGACCGTTTGTGGGACACCGCTGTGCGCAATTGGATGCCGCGTTTCACCCACAAAATACACTTAAGCCACTTTACAATATATTGTGTGAAACACTTTGAGACGTCTCAACGATGTGATAAGGCGCAATATCAAATGCAAGTATTATCATCATCATCTCAGAGGCCTACTTCTTCCACCTCAGCCCCTCTACCCGCACCCCCTCATATCCCACAGGGAGGGGGTGGGGGGGGAGGGATGGGAAAAATTAATTCGGAGAATTTCTGGCTGAGAATGTGTGGAGTTCGACTCTCGAGCTGTGTAGGAAGCCCAGCAGAGCCCTCTGCAGGCCTTCCTACACTGATGCAGTTACACTGCAGACGTCCCAAATTCCACATAGCCGGAGCTGCGAGGTCGATTGGAAAAAATTAAGTGGGTTTCTTTTTAAAGAAGCTGTGGTAAACTGGCTTCCAGATTAAGCCTGAATTTGAGGAAATCATAGATTCACAAGCTGTGTTTGTTTGAAGCTTTAGGGTCTCCACACACGCACTCATGCACATACATGCGCACACATACACACGATTAGATTTATATAGCGCCTTTCATGCTGGAAGGCTGTCACAAGGAGCTGAAAGGTACATGCATGTGTATGCACAACACATAAATGCAATCACATGCATAACAAACACGCGTGCATACACGCGCACATACACATGCACACACTAACACACACACATATATATATACACACACATACACACGCAAGCGCTCAGATATGCAATGTACTTATCACAGAGTTGTACATACACAGTGACCTCGGCGAAGGTGTCATTGGGGGTATACAGATAGCAGGAGGGGAAGGTGTGGACGCCAAACTTGGTGACGAGGCTTTCCTCACTCCTCAGCACTCTGCGCACGGCGATGTTCTCATACTGCAGCATGTCCAGCGTCACCTGGGGACACAACACCAACAGCTCACAGCTCTGCAGCGCCCTTCATACAGGAAACCGTCTATTATTACAGCACACACAACGCACAACCCTACCACCACAAGAGGCTTCCTCAACCCAACAGTATAAAAAAAAAGTCAAGTGCTCGGAGGCTCCATTACATTTTGAAATGGATTTTTGTAATATCCTGAAATGTTGGGGCAAGGTGGGCTTATAACGATGTCTAATTCCGCCACTGTGCAGCGTTCCAAGACAAAATACAGTCAATCCACTTTACAATATGTTCTGTGAAGCGCTTTGAGACATTTCAACAATGTGATAAGGCGCTCTGTCAAATACAAGGATTATTATTACGTAAGGTGGGAATGGGTTTTTAAGAACTTCACGTTTATTTATTACAAGAAGCAAACTCACCTCTCTGCCCAGGAAGGAGTCTTCCTCCTCAAAGATCAGTGCTAGGTACTGAACATCGTTGGTGTCAAAGAAGCGTGTTATCTCTGCTATCCTGCAGGTTAAAACAAAGCATTCAACAAAGTGTGGAGTCCCGTAGCGTAGTGGTTAGCGCTCTTGTCTCACAAGCGAGAGGACCTAGGTTTGAATCCTGGGCGGGGCAAAACCTTAGTAAAAAAAAATTTAGGCATTTCCCCACAAAATACATAGGCAAATCACTTTACAATACATTCGGTGAAGCACTTTGAAGTGTCTGAACAACATGAGAAGGTGCTATATCAAATGCAAAGTTTATTATTATTATTAGATAAATTTCCTTCCTCCGGCTTACCTAGGATTAAGTAGGAACCCAGTTGTTAGTCAATTGACAGATCGCTTTCCGGGGCTAATAATCCCTCAAAACAAAAATGTGGTCACTCAATCCATGACAGTTTGTGGGACACTGCTGTGTGCAACTGGCTGCCTTGTTTTGCCCACAAAATCCACTTTATTATTATTATTATTACCACTACTATCTGTGCTAACCATTGATTTTAAGGCTAGACTTGGAAGAGCAACCTTATTGCACGAGTGAGATTCCTCCTCCCCCCCCCCCACACACACACGCATAATATTTCCAAATGAAATGTACAGGCCCATTATTCAGATGCTCTCACGCCAAGATGACTTGATTAAATATTATCAGGATTAGGGTCAGCTATCTTGAAAAACATTTGAGTTCCAGGTAAGCGCTCCAGGACACTGCCCTGAGTGAGGAGCTCTATATAAATGCAAGTGGTTGTCGTAACCGCATTGCAAGATAGACTGGCACTAAAACAGTGGAAAACCAAACCCTTGGATCGCTGGGTTGCCATGGATTTGCAGCACAGCTGCCTGTCAAGGCAGACTGCAGCCACAAGATGGATTCCCCTCTCTGCCACGCCGGTGATCTTTGACCCCCAGGGGTCGGACTCCATTTATTAAAACATCAACCTCTGCTTCCTCCTCTGGAAAAGCCATTTAACACCTTGAAAGCCAGACAGACGCTGCACGCTTTCAGAGTGCTACAGCTCTGACCTTCGACTCGTGTTCCCATACATCACTAGGACACTGCGACAACACACTGTCCACTGACCTGGGGCAGGTTTCGCACCCAAATCACCTCTCCCTGGACCTTGCTGCCATTTTGACTTATTTTCACCTGCAATTCCCCCCTTCCCCCCTCCCCCCAGCCACAAATGCAACCCCGTTCAAAATGTTCTGTGATAAGCAAATCCTTGCTCCCACCATTAGAGTGAAGGTTAAGTTAAGCATCTCCACAGGAACACTCTCCCTGGTGCAGTGTGACACCCAATAGTCTCCCTGATTTGATTCTTTCTCTGCTATCGTGGCCCCAGGGCCACAGTCATTGTGTTTCAGTTTGGTCTAACACATCTGGAAATCCCACACCATGCTTAAGAGTATCCAAACCACACTCTACACATGGAAATTCCCCTGTCTGGAATGGAATGCACACTCTCTCCTCGGTGGGATGCACCTTTCTTAGTTAATCCCAGAGAGTATTAGGCATAAACTGGTAAAAGCCAAGGATTGGGGACCACAGAGTGTGTGTTGAGGTAACTGCTGGAGTTTAACCGGCTGGACCCACATTGCTTACCACTGAAGGTATGTCAAGTTGCAAGTGTCCAATTTTGGGCACCCTGTTATAGAACAGACAAGACACCCATGGAGAGAGAGGATACAGCCAAGGTTCACTCAGATAATACCCGGGATGAGGGATTGTGATTATATGGAAGGTCTTCAAAAGTTGGCACTGCTATTTCACCTGAGCTGAAAAATGTAATGGGGGCAATAAAACTAACAAGAGCTGTCAAAATCAAGTCCTCTTTCACCTATTAATCCCTTCACTCCCTAGCACCCCCCAGCTCTTTAATCTCTTATCCCCCTCTACTGCTTGCCCTCCCATCCCCCGGACTTGGCTAAATCGGGTCTGCTTCGAGTCCCCTGCCCATCCACCCCATCATCGGTGACCGAGCCTTCAGCTATTCTGCTCCTAACTATCCTTCTGGAATTTTGAATGCCCCTCCTTATCCCTCCTCCTCGTCCTTTCGATTTTTAAGCACTCAGAGAGGTTATCCTACACAAGGGGTTCATGAACTGGAGCTCATGTCCTGAGCGTTACTTGGGCATGATATCAGGTTTACATGGGTGACAGAGGGCAGAGCCAGCACTGTGGGGGTAAGCAGCTCAATGCTGTATACCTCAACCACTGAATGATGTCTGGAACCTCAGCACTGAGCTCACTCCGCCAGGAGCTCAGGTTTGGGAGCTGACAGAGAATAATACGTCCTCTTAACAAATTACAGGTCAGGAGCCTCACTGCTCTGCAGGACATTTGCTAAAAGCATTCTCTTGTTCCTAACAAGGTGATAGATTGCTTAACTCTTTCAACACCGGAATGCATAGCATTTTCCGTCACAAGGAGGGCACCATTTCCAAAATAGTCTCAAATTCTCCCATCGTCAGGCAATCGGCGATGTCCGATAATCTGAAATTTGTCGACGAAAATAGACATAGTTTGGAAAAATCAAAAACCTTTCAGATTGCTTTCTTAAAAAAACAGGGTTTGTATCGTGTTTAACACCAGTGGCACTTGTGCTGACTAACATGCATTTTTGCCTGTGGTTGTTCCCTCTCAGTCCATATCCTGACTAAGGGCCTGTCTGTTCAGCTGTGGCACAATCCCCACACAACATATCGCACTGTTTGGTGAGCCACAGACCTGCCTCGGACAGCGGCAGTCACTTTGAAAATTTATGTCCAGCAGTCCATTAAAAATTCATTCAGCAACTCAATCTAAAAGACAAGAGATTACTCAAAGAGAGAGAGAGATTACAGTGCGTGCAGGAGCAAGTACATGTTTGTGTGAATGGATGCATATGCGAGCATGAGTGTGTGTGAGCCGGTGCAATGGTGAGTATGAGCACGTGTGCGTGATCATGTCCATGCGTGAGAGAGAGCGTGTGTGGTATGTGTGATCGCGTGCGAGTGAATGCATGTGCCATAATGCACGCGCACGAGTGCGTGTGGGTGAGTGAATGTGTGCGTGTGCGAATGAGCAAGCAAGAGGGTACAGAATGAGATAGGGTGAGCAAGTGAGCAGAGTTGACAGTGATGGTGTGACCGGCCGGCCGGAGCCTGGGAGCCCGGTTACCTGGCGGGTTCCAGCGGTGGGCAGGCGGGCGGCCACACGTCCCCTTTGTGTGTCTCCATCAGCCTGATGATGTTGCGTCTGAGTTGCATCTTGTCATTGCTGATCTCTGTAGGGATTCAAGGAACAGGCAGGATTCAGCTCACCAGTTAACAGCCAGGCCACAACCAAATACACACTCTAAGCTAAGCTGCAACTGTCTGAGTTGATACTCCAATGCAGCGCTGGGGGGTGGGTGGGGGGGGGTGCTGTTGCAATGCCAGAGGTGCCGTTCTTTGGATGAGATGTTAAACTGAGGTCCCATCCCGTCTGCCTGTTCAGGTGGATGTTAAAGATCCCGGGGCACTCTTCGAAAAGATAAGTGAGTTTCCCTCATGGTGTCCTGGACAACAATCCCCCAAATAAAATTGGTCACTAACTTGTGACCCTTGACTGTCCAGAACCTTGGGACATCCACCCGACGTGAAAGGCGCCCTATAATTGTAATTTTGTTGTTGCTGTTGCTCTTTGTGGGATACTGCTGTGCACAACTGGCTGCCGCGTTTCACCCACAAAATACACAATCACTCCACTTGATAATATATCCTGTGTTAATCCAGCTCAATACTGATGACATGCTTTGGGAGGGTGCGTGGGCTGGGAGAGTCAGGGGGGATGGCCAATGCCCAGCCCCACCCCCACCACCCCCTCTTCCCGACGCAGGTGTCCTCTCAATGAGAAGTCCAACAATTCAAGGCAAAAACCACAAGGAGCTGAATGCTCTCTTTCAGTGTGGCTGTTATTGCACCCATGAGTTTCCAATAAAATGACGGAGACAACGGGAGAGCTGTGAGAGACGCGCGAGGTGTCCGAGCGAGCAGATGTGATCTACTTCCTGCCTCCGGTCAGCGCTTCTTAACCAATCAGGAGCAAGCCATGAGCAAAATAGCGGAGATAATAATAATAATCCTTGCATTTGATAATGCATGTCGTTGAGACATTTCAAAGCACCTCACAGAACACATTGTAAAGTGGATTGACTGTGTACTCTGTGGGCGAAAGTAAATATAAAATAGATGATAAAAGGAACCAACCTTTGAAGAGCTGTCCTTGGAAGGGCTCTTTGGAAAACGCTTTGAAGAACTGAGGAGAAAATAAAAGAATTAGGGCAGTCATTGGAATAATCATCCTTATATATCTCATTGCCAGGAGGACATCCTCGCTCTGTCCCACAAACAGTCATGAAGTGAATGATCACATTTGTCTGGGGGATTTATAGGCCAGGACACCAGTTGAAACTTGCCTCCTCTTTTTGAATAGTGCCACAGGACCTTTTAACCGAACAGGCAGAAGGGACCTCGGTTAAAGACCCATTTGAAGGAAAAGCATCTCCGACAATGCACCACACCCCCAGTACTGTACTGCAGTGTCAGCTTACTCTATACAAGTTCAAAATCCTAACATGGGGCTTGAATTCACAACTTTCTGACTCTGAGGCAAGAGTGCTACCAACTGAGTCAGGCTGACAAATGCTTCATACAGAGAGTTATACACTTTCGTTTCCATAGAGGTTGCAGCGAAGAGGAGGCTATTCACATCGAGTCTACGTTGGAGTTCATTAGAGCTACATACTCTAATCCTAGTTCCCTGTAATTTTCCTGTAGCCTTTAATTTCTCTCCAGATACTTATCCAATTGCCTTTTAAATATTGTTACATTCTTAGCTCCAATTGTGTCACTAATCAGTGTTTCACCTGCAAATAACTCAGTGTGTGAAATCATACAATACTAATCTTGAAATATTACACATTTGTATCACTGCTAATGACATCCATCCTTCTCGGTCCTGAACATATAATGGAGGTATGAGGGGAATGAAGAGAGAAGGGAATTCACGTTACACATGTAGAGGCCATTGTACTGTCTAGGCATAAGTCACCTAACCTCCTGTGAATCATAGGAGCCATGTTCGTCCATCAGCAACATACTGCCTTTATATAGTGCCCTTCAGGCTGGGTGAGGGGGAAGGTGATTGTAGGCAAAGTCGAAGGGAGGATCTTAAGTGTGATCTGAAGATGAGGAAGGAATGAGCAAGGCGGAGGGACTGAGAGAGTTCCAGAGTTTTGGGGTATAGTGGTTGAAAGTACGGCCGCCAATGGTGGAGCGGAGGTTGCGGGTGGTGGACTCGAAGGTGCTAGGGAATGAAGGGATTTGTAAAAGAGTGTGAGGATCTTGAAATCAATCCAATCTGTGATAGGGAGTCAGTGGAGGCTGGCAAGGACTGGTGTGATGGGGGTACAGAATTTAGTACGGGTGAGGATGCAGGTGGCGGGGTTTTGGAGCAGTTGGATTTTGTGGATAGTGGAGCTGGGGAGCCCGGCGAGGAGGGCGTTTGAATAGTAGGGATGGAAGATGACAAAAGCGTGGACAACGGTTTCAGTGGTACACTGGCCACGATTCATCTGTTGCCAGACAACTGAGGTAACAGTGCGTCCAGGCATCGTCAGTGCTGCAGTCCTGAGCACCCACCGCCACCTCGCTTTCACTTTCCCGTGATTAACCTGAAGGAGATCTGCCAACATTGTACCTTGATTGTTGGATAGAACAACACTTTGAATGTCTTGCATAATATCCGATTCTGTGAGTCAGCACAGTCGATGGCAGCCAGGCTGACCGCAGGCTTCCACTCTGAAAGAACAAAGTGTACAAGGCTTAGTGTGGTTCCTCAGAGCCATAAGTCTGTAGAAAAATTAACAGCCCCCCCCCCCCCCCCCAACAAGGAGAAGCACATATGCAAAGGAACCTTTGTGTCTCCGTCTCACGTAAATCACTTCAATATTTCATCCCTTTATTCCCACTCATATTAATAATAATCCTTGTATTTGTTTATAGCACCTTATCACGTGGTTGATAATGTCTGGAAATGCTTCACAGAACATATTGTAAAGTGGTTTGACTGTATTCTCTGAGCGAAACGCGGCAGCCAATTGCACACAACAGTGTCCCACACATATTCGTGGATTGAGTGACAAATTTTTCTTTGAGGCATTATTACCCCAGGAAAACGATTTGCAAATCAACTGACAAGTGTTGTTAACATCGTAGCCAGGTGGTCGGGATGGATGGTATGTTAAACCGAGATCCCAGATATACGAAAAGCGCTATAGCAATGTAATTTTTATTGTTTGCTATTGTCTCGTCAACGGCTGTTTGTGAGTCCTTGCTATGTGCAAATAGATTGACTAATTTGCCAAAACCATCATTACAGGTGCTATATCAAGTGCAAGCATTATTATAATATTAATAGGGATACCACTAGATGTAGAAAATTGTAATAATATTTTTTAAATTCATTTTTTTTTTAAAAGGGATTATTACCCCAGAAAGTAATCCGCCAATAGACTAATAACCGGGTTCCTACTTATTGCTAGGTAAACAGAGGTGTGGAGTAAAGAAACGTGCCTAAGGTTTTGTCCTGCCCAGGAATCGATCCCAGGCCCACAAAATACACAATCAATCCACTTTACAATATATTCTGTGAAGCGCTTTGAGACGTTTCAACGACATGATAAGGTGCTATATCAAACACAAGGATTATTATTAAATCTGCAATATAAAACAAATAACCACCACAAGGTGGCAATCGTCTGTGCTCAGTCAACATTGAATGACAGCTCCAGTGGAGCCTGAACGCACACAGCTCTATATTTGAGCTTGGGCACAAAGCCATTGCTCAGCAGTTGTCTCTCCTCAGATTTAAAGCTGTCTACTCCAGAGGTTGAGTTCAGTGGGGAAAGGAAAAAAAGAGGGGAAGGAAAAAGAGGAGTAAAGAAAAGGGGGAAAAAAAGGGGGGGTCGGGGTGAAAGAGGAGAGGGGGAGGAAAAAAGAGAAGGAAACAAAGAGAAAAAGTCAAGGGGGAATGAAGAGAAGAGGGGCAAAAGTCATGACCACCTATGGAAGGAATTTGCTTTATTTTCTTTCACCAAGGATGAGGAGGTTTGGGGTGCTAGGAAAGATTTTTAAAAAACTGTTCCCGAACAGCTGTCTCTCCCACTCTCCTTAAATATCCAGACTCCTCTGCAAATAGCAAACACTACCTTACTAATCCAGTTGATCAGGTTTTTAACCAAAAAAACCTGCTTTGTTCCAGTGGAAAAAGTCCCACTACCTCCAGTCTCTACTCATAGGCCAAACTATTCTACCAAATGTCCTTTGCACCCCTCTATCGCCTTGACGTCTTTCCCATAGTGGGGTGACCAATACTGGACACAATACTCTAACTGCGGTCTAGTCTTTGCTTTTATATTCTATACTCCCATTTATAAAACCTAAGATTCCATTAGCTTGTTTGATGGCTTTGTTCACCCACCTTCCTACTTTTAATAATTTTGGTACATTAATAATCCTTGCATTTGATATAGCGCTTTTCACGTCGGGAGGACATCCCAAAGCGCTTCACAGAACGCACTGTAAAGTGAATTGACTGTATATTTGTGGGCGAATGCGGCAGCCAATTGCGCACAGCAATATCCCACAAACAGTCGTACATTAACCCTCAAGTCCCTTCACTCTTCCACTTTATATTTTGGCACCCAACATTATATTCTTATAACTATTCTTCCTTCCAAAATGATTAGGTTGGCTGGCTCTAGCCTCCTGCTTGGCCCTTGTTCCGCTTTTAGCCACTATGCCCCGAAGTTTGGAAACTCCCACCGCCAAACCCTCCGCCCTTACCCCCTCCTTCCCCTTTTTTAGATCACAACCAAAGACCTTCCTCTTCAACTGTGCTCACGGTCACCTCCTCTCTCCCCCCTGCTTAGAGTCAGGCTCCGCCACTGTTAAGCCCTCTGAGACACTGCCCGCGTGAAGGCCGCTATGTACATGCTAGTTGTCGTTGCATAAACTAACTTTTATCTGCATTAAACTTCATTTGCAATTTCTCTGCCTAATCAACCAATCTATCAATGTTCCCCTGAAGTTGCTTGATTATCGTTAGCGACACTCCCTATTTTCGTGTCGTCTGCAAACCTAGAAACGTGTGCCCCTCGTAATAGAAAATTTCAACTTTCACTCAACATACTGGTCAATCCCTGGCGTCATTAAGTCTGCACAAGATCCTGGACCAAGTCTGAATCAGGCAGCCAAATAGACCAGTGTCTTATTCCCATTCTGCGGTCAACGGTTTTATGTAAGTGATCGTCAAGCACGGGCACTTTCAGGATGCTGTGGCTATTGCTCTCACGCATTTCATTTTTGCAATTTCAAGTTTCACCCAACACCTGAGTTATTGGACAATCCCTGGTGACAGAAGGTCTGCACAAGCTCCTAGCCCCAGCAGCCAAATGTCAGGGAGCCAAATGGCCCAGTGTCTTCTTATTTCCTAACCAAAATAGACACTGCACTTGACAAAAGTTATTTAACAATAATCAGTAATAATTATCCCTGCATTTCATGTCAGTAGGACGTCTCAAAGCGCTGCACAGAACTTACTGTAAATTGCAGTGTTCAGTTTGTAGGCAAATATAGCAGCCAACGTGTCCTACAAACAAGTCAATGAAAGTCTATAAAGTCAATGAACACATTTTGCATGTTCTGACAAAGTGTCATGAAAATACAGCTCAGCTCCATGGAAAACTCATTTAGTTACCCCCACACGGAGGATAGTCACTAGTTAGTCATTTAATATCCAGCAAGCATGGGTTCAAGAACTCACTAGGTGGATGGCAGATACCAGGAACTCTCTGCCAGCTTCCTGGTGAGCAGCGCAGCTCAGCATGAAATGTGTGAGCATTGCCACAACATCCTGAAAGCATTCGTGCTTGCCAACCACTCACATAAAACCACTGGCAGCAGAACGTGGATAAGATACTTGTCCATTTGGCCGCCTTACTCGGGCTGAGGCCAGGACCTTTTGCAGACCTACTGTCGCCAGGGATTGTCCAGTAACTCAGCCGTTGGGTGAAATTTGACCCGTGTTTTTTTCTGTTTGCAATCGATCACTACATTAGTGAGTTTATTATGTAACTCATTCCACCTTTCAGTTTATCATTGGCATGTGGTATTCCCAGGAGACTGATCAGCTTTGTTAATTGCTCTATAACTGGAATCTTGTTGTTATCTGCTCAACCTTCATTGTGAGAATTCTTTCAGCTCAGCCTGTCCGTGCCCGAGACATCGCTGTGCTCATTTTGTTGCCTGGACTCAGATTTTTTCTCGCTTGTGTTCTGTCCTGGGATTGCTTTGGCTTGTTTGCTCAACTAAGCTTTGTGGGTTCGGCTGACCAACTTGGGTTTTTCCTAGAAATGGCTTCTGGTTTTCCTGTTGTTGTTGGGGAGCAGATGTCAAATTCCAATCCTACTGCTTTGCGGGACATCTCTACTCACTGCAAACTTTGGTTAGTCTGCTGAGTCATATGGGGAATCTTCACACGCGCACACCCCACACACACACACAGTCAGTGTGGAATTTTGGTATCTTGTTTGACTCTCAATTGTCCTTTAAACCTGTGCTTTGACCCATTCAGCTTTAATTTTCTCCATCTCCGGCACTGACTCTCCCATCGGGCCACTGAGACCTTTATCCATGCTTTTATTGTGTCCAGGATTGACTGCCAACTTTCTGCTCGCTGGACTTCCCAACACTTCCCTCCATAAGCTACAGACTATTCAGAACTCTGCAGCTCATGTTCTCTCCCATAGCAGGCACCCCAAGCCTATCAACCCCATTCTTGCCAAGTTCCACTGGTTCGCCATTCCCCAGAGGATCGAGTTCAAAATCCTTGTCCTGACTTTTAAAGCCCACCATGGTCTTGCCTCACCGTGACCTGCTAAAAACTTACCAACCATCCCACTCCCTCCACTCGGCAGTCCTCAGCCCTGTCTGCTTCACCATCTGCGGTCGGACCTTCAGCCTTTCTGTCTCCACCTTCTGGTCTTCGCCTCACCCCACCCTTATCTACTTCAATGTTCATCTCCAGACCATCCTCCTTGACCACAACTTCGGTCATCCTTTGTCCCCATTCTTCCCAAATCCAACCCCAGCTCTAGTGCAAACCCTCGACTGTCCAGTGTCTTGCGACCTCCTCTCGACATGAAAGGTGCTGCATAAATGCAAGCTATTGTTATGTATTCTCTGCTCCCATGAGTCGATACTGCCCTCTTCAATTATACTGACTGAGTGCTTCTTCCTTTGACTATTGTACACACCCTCCTATCCTATTCTGGGGACAGAGCCGTCTCTTAAGGTGACGTGCTTGGTAACCGAGTATGGAACTGAGTCAACACTCTGTACCTGCCTCGGTTGTCCGATTCCTGAGTCAGGCTGGTCAGCAGCACACAAAAGTCCTGCTAATCATAGACCAGCCACATTCACCTAACGGATACACAGTCGCTACACTTCACAGAATGTAAATTCTGTGAAGGGCTTTGACGCGTTTCAACGATGTGATGAAGTGCTGTACCAAATGCAAGGATCATTTTGGGAGTTATTTGTTCTCTGCATCTATTGCAGGTAATTCTTTGGAGAAATCTGTTTCACCTTAGCAACTATTGTGCTGGGACAAAAGAGATGTTCTCTGATAGTCTCTGCTGAGCTCGTATTTGCAGCCGGAGCCTCAGCGCAAAGCATCAATCCAGTGATGAATGGTGCGATCTCTCTGTTCACCCGGGGATGGCCCACATGAAAAGAGG